AATTATGTATTATATTATACGTTGTGTTACTTGTACAGTTTAGCTAACATCTTTATTTGAAACAATGTAAATATTTAACGAAAAGTATAATGTAATTTTGACGGTACAATCAAACAGAATAATATATTGAAAAAGATTTCATACCGCTCATCGTTATGCTTGTTGTACATCAATCGGCACAATAGATCCATAGATCGAGTATGATATCGCTGTATTTGCCACACGAACTAAGCCACACTATCGCAGATTGTCCTGTGATATGATATTTAGATGTGCAAATTCCAGTATCTTAAAGGTGAACTCCACCCTCACACAATGTTGGTCTTAAAACTTTGTCTGTCCCGTGAAAATAAATATGCGGCAATTTTTTTGTTTGTTTGATTCAATATTTTCACAAAAAATGAGTTGAAATGCTGCAGCTAGGGCATCCGGTGCGTGGAAGCGGAATATGTCAGCGGCTTGTATTTGACGTCATATCGTCAATTGCTGCTCAAAGCTCTGTGTAAAGTCATTGCACAGTCATAACAAACTTGCGTCAAAATGCTTCTCCTAATCACAAAATGTTTCGTCAGAATTTTTTATTCATAGGTATATACACAAGCAACTTTTATAGCTTACATGCAAGTATTGAGCTGGTTATTTGTATTCTGTTTTAATAGAACGATTTCACATCCATAAAGGCCATTATCGCACAGTTTCCGCACTACATATAGAATTTGAATGTCGATTAATATTATTTTCTAAAAAATACTAAGATTTATTTGTGTGGAAACTGTGCTGTAATGCCGTTTGCTTCGTTTGCTTGTCCTCCGAATTCAACCTTAACAACAGTTTCTACTGATGTGAAACCAGTCTATTGCCATGAATAACATTGAATAATAATAAAACATGGTTGCGTAATTTAGATTCATTATGGTTAGAAAATAATCCTACATAAAACCATTGTAAAATTAGCCTTTCGTGCATAGAATTTAGGTGTAGTTTCCTTGACGTAAAGTATGAACTTATAGTTTCCTAATTATTTGTACATAATTTCCCTTTTTTACGTCACATTTGGGACAAAAATTTCCAGTGCTATGAAAAACAAACACCCTCATATTGATCACCAATATGACCAATATGATGTGTGGCATTTGTCTAAATCTGTCACAAAACTAACAAAGTCTAACATTAAGGGAAACGATGACTTTACCCATTGGATTAAGTCCATTTCTAATCATCTTTGGTGGTGCTCTGCAAGTTGTAACAAGAATGCAGAAGAATTGGTGGAAAAATAGAAGTCTATCCTTAACCAATAACAAGCATTTCTGGAGAGGGAACACATATTTTCATCAATGTTGCCACCAGCAATTAACAGAAAGAGAAACAAGAAGAAGAAGTGGTTATCTCCTACTTCACAAGCATATATTGCTGCAGAGAAGGTGATTTGTGACAAGAGGCTTCTAAAAGACCTGTGGAAGCTATCTGAGTTTTGCCACACAGGAGAGTTGGAGTTTACTATTCCCTTTTACTGAAATACTGCCCAAAGCGATAGCATTTTTCATTTCCTAGAATGGTAGCCCGCACTCAGTTAGCAGCATTAGATCACAACAACAATATTAACCGTGATAAAGCAGTCATTAAGTCAGGGACAAACAAAGGGCAAGACCGTTACAAAATGATTTTTGCTAAAACAAAGAAGCAATGTGTTGTAAAAGCAATGAAAGAAAAGAAAGAGTACCTGTACATTTATAAACTACTTGCCGAGGTTGTGAATGCATGCAAAACAGAGGAGATTGAACTTGTACATGATGGCGAGAATCTTCCAAAGAACATTTCTAAATCATGTCCACCCAGGAAAGAAGTACTTGTAAAGGAACATCAGTCTAGATTTGCATAAAATGTCAGTGGTGATGCTAGGTTTTGCCATGCCCATATAATATGATGTTGAATCAGTGAAGACAACTTTTGTACATTCATTCTTAAATAATAACATAGCAAAACCAACATAGTGGAAGCCTTCAAATTGAAATTCCTCTGCAGGGCCAGGTGGAGGAAATGTTTCTCTAATGCAAGTAACTGCACATGATGGCAAGACGACTCTTACTTCTCTACCCAAGATACCCCAGCACCCTCTTGTCAACTGTCTATATGCAATATGGCGGTACAGTTTGTCTTTGGGCCCATCATATGCTACCTCATATTGCTGCTTGTACAGGTACCAAGCTGTTTGTAAAACCCACCTGTTAAGACAAACCGGCTCAAAACCAGGATGTTGTGTAATGCACAAAGGGACTTCGGTGGTCTCATTCGTTTCTACTGCCACTACATTTTTGTCACAAATATTGGAAATTTCTTCGCAGCATAAACATTCCTCGTTATTGTCCATTATTTAGCAGTTACCACATTGACACCTGAATATGTTAAAAGAAAGGATCTTGAAAAGTAAATGTCTAAATTTCAATAAAGATTGTATCTTACAATAAAAACTTAAAATCTGAAGTATTATGTGTGTGTGGACGTGGTCAACTTCAAAAACTGAAAACGTTCTTTCGAGATATAAATAATGGTCTAGAATAATATAACATTTTATTACTCACCATTCAAGATTGTCGCGCCGAGGTTCATCCTCGATATACACAAATTCCTGTTCTTCGTTGTCCTCAAACTGGTGAGCTTCTTTGTGTTCATCAGCAGGCCATTCGGGCTCAAACTGATATGGCCGAATATTGTTTGCTGGATTGTCTTCCATTTCACTATCGATTGGTGAATTAGGCCGAGGTTCTTCCAAAAAAGCCATTATAAGCGATTGTTTTGTTTTTTGTGCAAGGCTGTGCGTTATTATTTTACTTTGTTGTTAACACAACTCCAAATCGGTTATGACGTCAAAATAATTTCCGCTGACGCTTTCTGTGCCCACGCTGCTAAACCTCAAAACAGCTCAAATAGCGCACTTGAAGACGCGATTTTGTCAAAAATAAAATAGCTGATGTAAAAATTTTAAAATATAGTAACCTTTGCATAAAAATGGAACTTTTAAGACCAACATTATGTGAGGGTGGAGTTCCCCTTTAAGCCTTCGTCGCTGCTGATGCTTTCAAATCGAGCTACACTTGAAATCAATTTTACGGCGATGTATTGGCGTATTCTGCAATTTTTTTCTTAAAAACTATAGTCACAATGATTTATTTCATAAATAGTGCAAAAAAAGTTGATGCAACCTTCGCGATTTGCTAATAATTGCGAGATATTAACTTGGACCACATATTTTCTAATACAACGCCATATTGATTCTCACTACTATGGGGCGCGAAGTGTTTCTTTATTATTTACGGAATTTTTAATATTTAATGTCATTATTTATTAAATAACCAAACGTAATAGGTTGGTTATTTCAAATAACCATTTTTTGGACTAGCATAATTTTGGTTATATCAAATAATCAATTGACAAATTTTGGTTATTTAATAAATAACCATTTTTATTTCGGCGCCGATTTGGTTGTATCAAATAACCAAATAATTTTGTTACACTTGGCACACTTGAGATGACGTAACGTTCGTGTTCTACTTACCCTCTCCCGCTGTGGAAAGTTATGAAACATGGCTTCTGGTTTAATATTATACACTGATTTAAGCAGAAAGCGCGCAAAACAAGGCATGGCGGATAATAAAAATGATATTTCGAGAAGGCTGACAGAAGCGATAGGAAGGGTAATCACGCAAACTTTGGTACAAGAGAGGTAAATGAGCGAGTTATTTCGCATTTATTTTACATCAATCAAACAGTAGTCTGTCTTTGTTAATTTGAAACAAATTTAACAGATAAGCGTTGAGCACGAGTCAAGTGATCCACTGGTCATTCAAACCTGTGGCTTGCTACATAAAATCAAAGATATTTCGTTGATTCAGATTTTAAGTATTTTTCTCAATCAGCAGGCATCAACGGCTGATGACATTCCCAGCCAAAACAGTTCTAATTCTAGTTCTATTACAGTCCAGCCTGTCCAGGTACGTTAACTTTTTACAGCTGACCCCTGGGTTACTAACTTACTATGTGCCTGGTCACTAGAGATGCTTTCCAGAGACACTATTTTGTTAACATTTTTTTATTTCTCAAAGTTTTAATTCACATGATTAAAAGGAGCAAAAAATAATTGTGATATACACAATGTGTTCACTGTAGCAAAGAATTCCAGCTCAAACATATTTGGAGACATCAAATTCAAGTTGTCACCTCAGTGTGGTAAGCTTTTTCTATAATAAATTATCAATGTGAATCAGATATTCATTGATGAACATTGACGATGTTAATAACCACATTACATTTATCACATGTATGCTATCAGGAAAACATATTATGTTTTCGCCAAATGAGTAATTTGCAGTGCCAAAATATGAGTTTCCAGAGTTGAATTGTTGTCAATGCCAGTAGGCATAAGCAATTTCTTATTTACTTTGTATATTATGGTTTGGGATAAGAAGTCAAACATGATTAAGCAATCTATTAAAGGTTTAAATTACTTCTTAGACAAGGCAACTGCCTTCACTTTTTGGTGGAGTAACTGGTGGAAAGAAAAGAAAACGATCTTCTGCATGCCTTCCTAAAAGAGGAAAAGTTTACACTAAGGATGTTGTTTGTTTACCACCAACAGATCAAACCTTCAACATTCCTATTCCACGAGGGAATAAAAGAGCACATCTTGCAGAAATGGGCTTGATAGGGAAAGTTTTCATTAACTCTGCTTGGGGGGCTGAAGAAGTTGCAAAAGAAATTTCTAGTGTATTCTCTAGGGCATTTAACCTTCAGCCAGGAGAAGTTCTGTCATATGATTATTTGGGGTATGTCATTCATGAATATATGGTGTTTGCATTGCTCATTGTTGTGATTGTGCTATTAAGTTAAGTTATATGTAACAAAAACAAAACAATGAAAACATGTACTTATTAAAGATGTGTTTTAGTATAACAAAGGGGACAAAACAGTTGACTTTCCCACAAAGATCAAGATTGTGTGGAATGGGCCAGAAGTCATCTCAAATTCATCCCAAGGATGTCTATACATAATGACTAAAATCAATCCTGCATCCACTGTTTTCATCTCAGATGATGATGACTGTGATGATCTCATTGAGGTATTAGGCAATATGTTGTAGTAGAAATCAAAAATTATATATGAGATAAATGGTCATAACTGTTCTCAAAACTTTCTAATGACTGTATTATTTATTTTACTGAAAGAGTGTACAAGGAATTGGTAACCAACCTAAAGACGAAAAGAGTGATGCTGTTTGTGAAACTGTTTTAAATCATACGTATCCCTTGTCAGCAACAAGTGTCGAATCAGCCGTAGCTGTAACCACATCTTCTTCATCTTTTACTTCAACAGTTTCACTTAGTCAAAACTCTTGCTATAGGTATATTGATAAATCGATCAAATTGATGTAATTTTTTTCTGAACCCCTATGTGATATTTAAATGGTGCGTAATTACTTGATGATTTTCTCTGATATTTAGCACATATTTTTTGCAGGTCATACGTTAATTTACTATGCCCAGAGCCCATTGAAGTTAGTACGGAGGAAGACAATGAAGAACTTCAGGCTGCTATAGAAAACAGCTTGCACTCTCAAAATGAAATGTAGCTATGAAATTGTTGCTTGTTGAATTGGTATTTGATGAACTCCTGACGATGATTTATGTCTTTTCAAGGGAAGGAAATGAAAATCTAACTGTTGAGATACTACTCACAGAGCATGTCGGACTTAAAGTGATTGGTCAGCCGTCTGATGTGGGCGTACCCAAGAATCTTATCAATGTCAGGCGTAAGCATGTTTTTGATGATGGCCTGGCTAAAATGTCAAGATCAAGATTTGATCCTTCAATGCCATTGTCTGTAAAGTTTGCTGATGAGATGGGGTCAAGCGAAGGAGCAGTTGATCTTGGTGGGCCAACCAGAGAGTTTCTTCGCCTAGCAATTGAAGAAGCTTTCTCATCTAATGCTTTTGTTGAGGTGTCTTCTGGCAAAGTTATTGTTGTTAATCAAGAAGGTAAATTATATTACTCTGACTAAGAAGAGATAGTTTTTCAAATATTCCTGTGCCATTTATTAAGTATATGCATTGCATATTGCTTTTGATCACAGCTAAGCGAAAAAATTTATATCTCCATATTGGACGACTTCTGGCCATCTCTTTGTGTAATGGTGGTGGTGCTGGACGTTGTCTTTCTCCTTGCATTTTTGACTACATTGTTGGTTGTCGAAGTGCTACACAACCTACCGTTGATGACGTTGCACAACCGGAAATAAGAAAGTTACTTCTAGAGGTCATTAAGTATATTTATATCATCTGGGTCAGTGTACGTGTTGGAATGTAATAAGTGCAGGACTGATGAAGGTCACCTGTTACGTTTTTTCTAATTCATTTGGGACTCCATATCTCTAGTACTCAATGTTTAATACATTGTAGATAATGTGCTGTTATGAAACAAGTTTTAATGACATAGTCAAGACTGATTTTGCCATTGATTACTTTGACCAAGCTGGGTACCATGGCTACCAGAATTTGCAATGAAAGAGCGACTCGTTAAAGAACTAAGTTATTATTTTGTTGTCGATAAAGCAAGCAGTGCCATCGAGAAGTTCAAAGAAGGTTTATGTACGTTAGGTGTTTTGGCCCTTCTTAAGCAGCAACCCTCTCTTTTTCGTCAGTACTTCTGTCACTTGCCAATGTCATTAACGGCCCTAACCATTGACAACATCTTTCTCCCCAATTATTCGGAAGAGGGCTGCAGGATGCGAGATAGAGAGGAGTTAGTAATGATGCATTGGCGTGATTACCTGCAGGACTGTGAAGGTACATAAATCGTATTATGGTATAGTACATTGCACTTTCACTTGCATAATAAGAATGCATATTTCATTTCTTTTTCGTACAGAATTTACGAAAGAACATTCAGCATCATATTCAGTCACCTTGCCTGAGATTTTGATATTTTCGACGGGATCAAATGAGATTCCACCTTTGGGATTTCGACCAAAACCACAAATCTATTTTTGGGATGAAGCTCGCCCAAGAAGTAATACATGCGCGAATATTTTGTACCTTCCACTTCATTTACAAAAAGATGATTTAAGCTATGATTTATTCAAAGAATTCATGGATTTTAGCATCCTGAATTCTCCAACATTTGGATTGGCTTAATAGTAAAACCATATTACCTGTAATGTAAGTATTTTTTCTTTTTGTAGGAGTTATGTTTGCACTATTTTAATTATTTTAAATTTTGTCAATATTGAACGATATAATTAGATTAGTACTTGCAATATTATCCAGAAACACATGTAATTTAGAGATTTATTTGAGTTTCTGGCGTCCTTAAATGCTTCGAGACCTTTGCTCAGCGATATTACGTGTGAAGCCTCCGCTTTCAAAGATCACACACTTTTTACAATTGTCGGAAATATATTTGTACGAATTGTGCATGTGTTAATTGAAACAAGTCATAAGAGTATTGTTCGACGATTATATGGAAGCAGAGCTGAAGGCAAAATGTTGAGGGCGGCACTTGTACGATTAAAGCACAGTCACGTGATATGGATAGACATGCAATCTAGTAAGGGTGTTCAGTTTGAATTTCATGCAAGTTTTGTTTCAATATTAACTTTACAATTTTTTAATTAGTTTTATTCTACTTATGTCCATAACTTTCACAGGCTACACACACGTACGCAATGCGTACATATTTTTAAATAATGTTAGAGCAAAACCTACATCATTTTCTCTGCTACAAAGCTAACTAAATCTCTATAAGCATCCACTGCATTTTGACCATTTAGTGACAAGACAAGTCACATACAGACTGATCATTTCCCAATGGATTTGGGATGTCTGGAACACAAACATGTGGCAAATCACTTGTTGAAAGCTCTTCAATGCCTGGCTGGTTTGGATGCTGGGGTAAGGCTCCTTCGTACGTATGTGCAAGCCCTATATTCACCAGAATAATTGCTCTGGTGTTCGGTTATTTTCAGTGGAAATTTTATGTCGGTTGTGTGCTGCAACGAATTCTTCAATGGCATTATTAATGCGAGAAATGTAAACACAATGAAGACAAAAGATGTCAGTATCATTATTTACATCAAGAGCGCCTTCACTTTCAAGACCATAAAACTGTTGTCGAAACGTAGACAACACTTGCTCATTGAGAGCACGGTTGTGTCGTTCTATGCGTTGATTGTGGACTGACTTACCCACTAGCACCGGCATGCTGGCTTCCCCTCTAAATGATGTCATATCATGCCAAATGTCAACGTTCTCTCCACCAAGATCTGTGCGGACTTTGGCAGGACGTCCATATTTTGATATAGCCTGAACAAAATGGCTATGTGCAGTTTCCGCCCGATTGTTTGAGCTACATTTTGCAAAAATAACCATGCGGCTAAACCCATCTATTGCATGATGAATCACCATCCTCCACCTTACAAGTTTATGGTTGCCATCAATGTGCCACACATAGTTTGGGAAAGGATTTGTGTAGACTCTTCGCTTAATTGGTTTACGCTTTCTACTTTGCACACCTTCTGGTTCCACAGCATGTATTGCCTGCCTAACTTTTTGTCGCTGCACATGCAATCTCCTAGATGCAAGATGACCTTGCACCATAATTTCTCCAGCATTTGGATGGCTGTTTTTAATTATTTGTACTTCTCTCTCAATTTCAGCTTCTGAAAGTTGTGAAAAGCAGAACATTGTTTAACTTACTTGGTAACGGTAAATATATTTAAAGATGCATTATCGCAGTTACTTCTGCTAAGACGCTTCGTGTACGAAAGACATATGGAATTATTATGTCTTGTAACAGGCATATGAGACCTAGAATGCACAAATGTGCCCAGTAACACCCATATAACATGTACGTGAACATAACTAATACGTTCACACGAGTAATTGTTTTAAATTCTACTGATGTTTGAACAATACTAGTTTGCTCAGTTTTTTTTCTGATTTTATTTCCTTGAATTTTATGGTTCTCTGTCTTACACAGATGATGCATTCGTATCTTCACGAAAGCGTCACTACAACATTTAATCAACTTTAAGATATGATCTTCTGTAACAACAGAAATACAAGCTGGCTCAATGAACTAAAAACTTTTCTCTCAACACATTCAGTTAAGACAGTGTTGGAGATCGCACCTGTGATATGCGAACAATGTGGCAAACTTCCGTTGCAAGAATTAGTCATTCGCATAACGCATTTCTCGGTCTCATGACACACTTTTAGAAGATCATCTGTAGGTATTTTTAGGCCACCATGACTCTTCCAAGACACAAAGAGGTCAGGAGCCCTGTTTTTCGATGTATGCAAAGCAGCAATACAATCTTGGCAAGTGATCTTTCTTGCAACCATTTTAACAACATAGCCAGCAATGTAAGATATAGCTGCTTCCTTATACTCAGACAAAGCAATGAAGTTGGGCACGTCACAATAGTCATGCTCTTCTTCAATTGGTTGTCGCAACTTCATATCATATCGTCTTGCCGTTGTCACATCGGAAATATCTGCCGATATTTCATTTGCCTCGCAACGATCATTTACTTTTGTCAAGATTTCAGTGCTATCTTGAGCAATACAGTTTCCATGTCCTCCTTCGATGTTATGTCTCATCAATAGTTGCTTGTATGCAGCTTTAAACTGACGTGGTGTTGGATTGTTATTCCATCCACCCGCCGCTCGTACAGCTGAAAAGAAAAGCTCTAAGTGATCTTGACTCATTTTTTACGTCAACAAATACCTGAGAATTGGTTTCTTGAAATAACGAGTTCCTTTGCTAATCGTTTAACGGCATCAATGCATATGAGGAATCCGAGAAATCCAGTTTTTTTCTTATGCAAGAGAATTGACCTGCCATCAGCAATCTTCAATTCTCTTATGTAATCTATAGCGTGATTTAAAAAATCCTTTATGTACGTATAATTGCACATTATAATAGGTGCCTTGTAGTTCTTAGCTATGGGATTTCTAGAGTTAAGAACATCAAACAAGCGATCAAATATACGAATAAAGTGCACAGTTGCACCACATCCTTTAAACTGTTGAAGTTTTAACATACCTTCACAATATTCTAATGCATCAGCTACACTAGAACTGAATGCTTGCACAGCTAGATTGACTTTCATTTTTTTTGACTGCCAATGAATATGACAGGAGCCAGGGGCGGATCTAGAGTATGTCAAATCCGTCGCGCGACTGATGTTTGAAATTCAAAAATTACCTATTCATATTAATTAAAAATTTCATTAATTATTCTTACTTTATTATCGCATTTACTTCGTGATAAAAATCCAGCTTTATTTATTATTGAAAACTAATGACTAATGCAATGAATATCTCGTTGGTAACCAGATCAGTTGAATTTTAATTGACCTGGAATAACCGACTGATAAGCGGGGTGGCTTGACTGGTTCGACTTATAAAGGAGTCTATGAACGCCAGAAACGCTATTTAATTGGTCAATGGCCAGATCAGTGGACAGTCTGGAATAATCTCGACCGATAATAGGGGTGGCTGGACCTATAAGGGAGTCCAATTGCTATCTTACAATTGGTTCATTTGAATTTTTGTCTTACTGTGATTGGTTTGACCGATTTCGACTGATAGCCAACTGAACTAACATAGTCAAGCTCAATGTCTGAAGTGAATGTTTGATCGTTCATAGTAATTTTCTGAAGCATGATAGAAACTAAACTACAATCAGATGGAATTTATGGAAATCTTTTACAAATTCATATGTTGACATGAATGCTGCTTTCCAAACTGGGAATTTTTTCAAGAGGGTGAAAAATTTATGGATGAATTGTAAATGCTTGGCAAAGACGATCTCGCGAGCGACATTTCAGTCATTGATGTTCAAAAGAAAGCCAACATTGTTTTGAGTTTTATCAGCAGAAATTTACATCCAAAATCGTAAGTAAAGGACAACTGAAGTGTATGCATGAATGCAATATATCAAAGTCAATTTATGCGAGTGTTTGATGCGATTTATGTTAATATGGCGTATGGTAAGCAG